AATATGGGTGCGTCATTCACTTGGAATAGGTTTCTCTAACTGAATCCCAAATCCCTTCACAGTAGGTAGGAACATAACTGTATTGCTTACTTCTAGTGTCAGAATTCTGAAACAAGCCATTATTATTGAATTTTCTTCATCTCATGCATCAAAATTTGGGTCTCCCAGTTTCAGTCCAGTGCCCAGAAAATGACTGATTTTTCCTTTTCCTTATCCTCATCAGTTATGACCAATTCAAATAGTTTTTTTCCGTTAAAGTGATAGGCAGCCGAGATTGGCTGAAAAATGCTATTGGTTTGTGTTGAATTTCCCACATGGGAATTTATGCCAGTATTTTGGAACATAACTTCCAACATAATTCAAGATTATGGGATAATGAAAACCAATTTAATAGGGCAAAGTTAGGGATTTACCAGGCTAGACAGAACTGGTGCCGCTGGCGACTGTGCGGCTGGTGGCTATGTGCAAGAGGTGGCTGCACGGAGAAAAACAACAAACAGGGCTGAAACAAGGGCTGTGCAGAACAGGAGATATGCGGAAAACAAGTGGATCAGGGGCTATGCCGAAACATTGTTGCAATAGAGCAGATTGTTGGAAAACAGAGCAAAACAGGTCGAGAACATGGCAGAGCAGTAGCTGAAAACAGAGCATGCAGACCTCACGAAAATGGACTGCCAGAAAATATGCGGCGGTCTGGGAGGAGTTCCAGATATGAGGGCTCGTTGTAGGTTTTGGGCTTATTCTGACAATGAAGGCTGGTTTAAGGTTTGAAAACAAAAGAGAACTTATTTTTTCTCCGATAATTCCGAAACCATGTAGAAGAACAGAATGTTATGTTATGTTTCTCACCGAATATTAGAGTCTTATAAATACAGTTCCGTATTAGTAAAGTCAAATACAACTACTAACAAGAAAGGGAGTATATTACTAATACTCTTTACCAAACTTAATACACACATCTTCTTAATATACAAGTCTACTTAATGTACAACCGTACTTAATATACAACTCTTAACAAAACAAATCAATTGATCATTTCGAACAGATATAAGACAAGAAAAAAATGACGAAATACCTTTCCGATCATATAAATATTGTGATTAGTATTTTGCAAGTGCTCTTTTGTGAGCAAAACAAGATCATTTTCTGCAAAGCTTCTAGAGGATGTAGAATCACTGTCATCATGAACAAATCGAACAAGATGAAAATCATCAACCCTCTCAACTGACAAAACAGATAGACTGCCACAATATACCTCCTCCCATGAAGACATTTCCAAAAAGGAACTGTGCAATTGTGCTTTAAACTCCTCCAAGACTAAAGGCTTAAATATATTCACATACTGCTCAGGAGATTGAAAGCACACAGGTACTTCCTCAAATTTGCTAACGATCTATTCGAATCTTCCTTA